CATTGTCATCATTGTTTTTTATTCCCCGGGTTACGGCTGCAACCTTCCCGGTATACGGTCTAAGTTAGTGACACGTCTGCTGCAAACAAGTTGAGGATTTTTCTGAGATATTTATGGTCTTGGTTTTGACTCGGTCTCAGAGCACTCTGGTCTCGGTTAGTGTGCTCTTCACTACAACACTATCTGTTTGAGTTACTGCAATGATATCATTAAATGAGTTAAAGGTAAATTCTCCGATGTTCTATCAAATGGTGCTACCAATCGAGATGTGCTACCATGCCGCTCTGTGCAGTACAGGGAGCTTATTTGAAAGGGACTTTTCATCTATCGAGAAATGCTCCCTCTTAAATCTTAAATCATTTTTAATACTGAGTATCAAAACATCCTTCCCGTGTCCTTACAGTACAAATCCAGCGAGTAGTGGTGTTTTCAAGTGATTCTGTACGGGGAGACTTATTCAGTATGAGATTTCACTTGCCCTGAAATGTTTAATGTTAGAGTCTCACATCTCAAATCTTAGAGGAGCCCGAGCTTGGACTCTCTACTGGTCATCATTGTTCATAATGTGATTCTCTATTTTAGTCTAACCCCTTGCAATCACTATCTTGTAGAGCAGGGGTGGGCAACTGGCGGCCCGGGGGCCACATGCGGCCCCCATTAACCCTCAACGTGGCCCTCAGGTCAATTTTGACGTATCAATTAATTGGAAACATGAAGAAAACATGACAAAATCTGCCATGAAATAACAAAAACCAGAAATATGTCCATAATAATATTTGATCACTGGTATATGTTGAGATAAATTTGAGACATAATTGACTGTAATCGTTTTTTGTATCCTACAATTTGGCCCTCTGGCAGTGAGAATTAAATGAATGAGGCCCCGTGTTGTGACCAAAGTTGCCCATCCCTGTTGTAGAGCCTGTAGCTTTCTATTTAAATTCCTCTGAGGAGTGGGGGGCTGCTGGTTGGTATGTGAAGAACTTGGCACCACCCTGCCAACAGCCATATGCTGGACAATCATTTGGTGAGGTGTTAGATAAAGCCCTCGTGTTATAACAGCTACAGACTCTTTTACTGAACCAGGATCATCAAAATGCAAACTATACTGTGTTATCTTTATGTAAATGACTTCCTTCTGTGACTGTATTCATCGCGTTGTGGAGATGACAGAGCCTTTTCATTGCCTTTTATGCACGCCATAAAAACGAGTAAGGAAAGATCCAACCATCAGATAACAAGTGTAAATGATTAACCATGACACAGTCTATAGTTTAAGAAAAGCAGTGTAACAAGACGACTGACAGCTGAGGCCAAATACCCCAAAGCTATTCGGCTGCACTGGGCGGCGGCTCCCTATCAGCCATGGCCGACAAATGTACCCCATGCACACCCTTTACATCCATAAAACATCAGGCATTTCATTCATTTATTACAAACACACAATGATCAAACTGCAAAGGAAGACCTATTGCACTCAATATTATTTAAAGACATTATTTATCACGCTGTAAGTGTAAGCTATCGTTAGCGGACAAGCTAGCAGATAGCATCTCCTGACAGACCTCTCAGCAACATGACATTTTACTAGACAAACAAAAGCATATTGTTGCTCCTTCATAGTAACACAACATTACCCGATATGACAAATACTTTTTTATTATAAAATACCCTTTTATCAAAACGCAACGCAGGTCAAGGTTCACTTATGTCGTTTAAATGCGATCAAATTTAATATTTTGATCATGTCTCTCCACACATCTTAAAGAGGCAAACTAACAAGCCGTGTTTGCTGTTATTTTATCTCCTGTAGTGTAAATATGACTCAACAAAAGGGGAGTGTTTGCTGCTAGCTTAGCTCACATTAGCCACCGAGCTAGCCAGAGAGCGATCATTGAATTAACAGAACAGTTTGAAGCGTCATTGTGAAGGTATTCCGTTTAATTTGCAAAAGATAATTTAACGTAAATGTGTTTTTCATACCTCGGTTTGTTTTCAACGAAGCTTAAGGAGGATGATGTTTGTCCAGGCGGATCGACGACGAAGGACGAGCGGCTGCTCTGGGATGGGTGACTGTTTTTTTTTTTTTTTCTTACCAAATGTGACGTCATTTTCTGCAGCTGTACGGAAATAACCGAGTCTTTCCGGAAAAACACGAAGCTCCTTGACAGTTATGATATCAATAAGAATTGATTTGCTAGTTGATTGTACCATGATTTGGCGTATTTTTCCATTGGCGATCAAGCATTTGATAATTTCTCGAGTTATTTAAGTAATATTTCGAATTATTTGGTCTGAGATCTCGGATAAGTGCCTTTTTTCCTTTATTTTTATACAGGGATATTCAACTATAATACTATGGAAAAGGATTAGGGACAGGCATGAGAAATAAATAATAATAGGAGGAATATTTTTTTCCATTATGCGCTTCAAGTCAAAATGTTGAGTAAACAATCGAAATGTCAGGAATGAAGATACAATACATCTTTTTTTAAAATTCGACATTATTCTTGTCAATTCAACTTTATTATCAAAGTGCATAATGGAAAAAAAAACCTCCTCTCAATATTTATTTCTCATGACTGTCCCTTATCCTCTTCTGTAATAAAACAAAGGTCCAGTTAGAGACAGAGTGTGAAAATAAACAACCCTTCCATACATGAAACTCTGTGTTGTTTGAGGAGTCATAGCCTCTCTTATCAGCTGACTTCCACGAGGAAAATTCAGACCAGAGTATCAGTGTTCATGTGCTCACATGTTGTGGTTTTGCTTTTATTTTCCTACATAAACTCTCCTCACTGTATATTTCAAACTGTACATTCTCAAACTGAAACACTGGCTGTCCTATAAAGTGATTATGTGGTAAAGTTAAAGTGATGAACCAATTTACAGACTTACCTTTCACTTGGCGAATTTGTTCTTAAACTGACGGAATATGACAGAAGCTATTATCCTTTAAGAGAGTTGGCATGACTAATTTAGATGTAGAGAGTAGAGAGACCCTTTGAAGTCCCGGTGAGGACCAAGTCTGTAATTTGGTCTGGTAGCTGTAGAGGTTCCAGTTCACTTCCTGAAGACTGCTGAGGTGCCCTTGAGCAAGGCACTGAACCCCCATCCTCAGTTCAGGAGCGCTCGTTGTGTGCAGCCCCCTTCACTCTGACATCTCTCCATTCATGTCCACAGGATTCTGTTTGTGAATTTGTGTATTTCAGCCTGTATGTGCGTAGCATGTTCAACAACAGAGTGTTAAATTTGAATTTCCCCTCGTGCGATTAATGAAGTATATCTTCTAAAAATAGGAGACGAGGAAACAACACACCAAACATTAAGTCATCTTTGACGCAGGGTTAAAAAAAAGGTTTTTATTTCTGCTTGTAGGTTATCCACAGCTGAATAAGTTATTCAGTCTTATACACATCTTATGAAAAAGCTTACAAAGAAGCATTTGGAATATTTATTCTTATTCTACAGAAATAGTTTGTGAAACTGTAAATACAAAATCACTGTTTTGACACACACTGTCTTGTGATAGCACCAATGTTTCTGCTTCCTTCAGTCAAGGAGAGCGGTACATTCAAGTACAACTTCTATTATGAATATGGACGGCTTTGGCTACAGAGATATATCTTAATTTAAAAAATAACCTAAAAAGACTTAGTACATACTAGACACAATATGGTGAGTTTCCTGTTAATTCTGGCATTAAAGTCATGAAACTTTTCATTTGACTAGCTAAGGCTTGTCAGAAAGAAACGGATGAAACTTCTGTCATTTTTTGTCAATTAAGTCCAAACTGACATTCGCCCATCAAGCATTTATTAAAGCTTTATTTGGGGCTTTTTAGGTCTTTAATGGAGAGACAGGACAGTGGGTAGAGTCAGGGATCGGGAGAGATAGCGTAGGGAACGACATGCTGGAGTGGAGCCACAGGTCTGGTTTGAACCCGGGCCGCCTGCTTGGAGGACCACAGCCTCCGCACATGGGGTGGACAAACTAACCACTAGGCTACAGGCGCCCCTCCATTATGCATTTTTAAGACAACATCCAGTTTAAATAGGCACAATCAAAAGTTGCTCTTATAAATTATACTTAGTAGTTTTTGGTTTTAAATATCAACAATTGATAATTGTGAACAGTTAGAAGCAATCAATAAAAGAAGTTGGATGCGTCAGTGTAACCGGGGAGACCGGGGACATTTATTTTTTGACTCTGTCTCTATATATCTGTGTATTTTATATTTATGTATTCTTGCAATAGGTGTCCTTTTTCATTCTCTTTAATTTGTATTTTTCCTGTTAATTTAGTAAAAACTTTCAGCACTAAAAGAGGACAAGTTAGTAGCTGACCTGCAGCAACCAAAAAATGTCTTCAAAGAGATCTTGGAGCTCCTCTCACTCACAGCAAAAGAAATGTTCAGCTGCTGTATATATAGGACGGCAAAAGACAATCGTTATGGTCGAGACAGCTACATAGTTTCCCATTGCATAAATATGAAAAGACAAATACGACACAGGCTCTGTTGTACTTTATGTCACCATGTTGTTTAAAGGTCACGTATTATTCTCGTCTTCAACCAGTGTAAATAAGTCTCAGAGCTCCCTCAAACATGCATGTGAAGTTTCTTGTTTTAATTCCACTCTGATCTGATCATGTCTATAAGCCCCTCTATTTCAGCCCTGCTCAGAACAGGCTGTTTCTGTGTCTGTACCTTTAAATATGTAAATGAGCTGTGTCTGACCACATCCCCTCTCTGGAAGGACTTGGGTGTACTCGGCTTTCTCGCTCCATGTCTATTGTTTACGGTGAGAAGGCAGACTCAGAGGGCAGAACAAACACCTAGCTGTGGGAGTGTCACCCACCTGGGGGAGGGGTTACTGCCCTTTGTGATGTCATGAAGGGAAAATCTCCAAACGGCCTATTTAAGCACACATTTTCTGAAAAGTAGAGCAGGCAAGAGACGGAGAGGATGGACTTTTCTCATCATTGTGGGATTTGTAGACGGACTAGAGACACATATTAGTGTTAGAAAAACATGGTGAAGTGGATTTTACAGAATATGTGACCTTTAAAATCACCCACTGTTGCAGCAATATTCTCTAGTTGTTTTGTGTAGTGTTAAAAAGCAAAGCTGGTGTGATGAGGCACCATGTTAACATAATTGGGCAAACATATTTGAACTCTACATTTAAGAGCTTTTTGATTACAAAGGATTTCCATGTCTATAAAACTTTTTGATTAAAAGGCATATGCTATAAATCCGTTCTAAACAAATCTTTACTAAAACAAGTCTTCCGTTCTCTCAGCTAATAGCGATGCTGCTCTTCACACATGTATGAAAAAAGCAACCATCCTCCTGACAAACATTGGGCTGTGACGGTACTGTTTGGGAATGTGTGCATGTAATAATACAGTCGTACAGTCTGACTCTCAGATGGGCGAGGGGGCTCGCAGTGAGCTGCTCAGAGCTACATCTCCAAACACGTTAGCATACGAGGCTTTGAGGAACTGCACGTAATTCTGCAGGCTCCGGTTGGTGCTGTCCGACTGCTCCAGTCGATCCTTCACGTCCTGTAATCTGCTCTGGTACCGCCGCTCCACCTGTTGGTCACAAACACACCTTACATATCTACTGGCACAGCTGACGGGCTCAGACTCTGAAAACTATCAACAGAAACCTCTACCTCCTCTTTGCTGCGCTGCAGTTGGTTGATTTCGGAGGTTGTCCTGCTCAGTTGTGTCTCCAGGTCCAGGATCTTAGACTGAGTGGAGCGCTCTTTGGTGGCAGCTCGTTCTCTGGTCACTGACATCTGGAGTTTCAAGACACATTGGAGTCAATTAATGGGTACCAATAAGGAAACAAAATTTACATAACAGTTGTGTACACACATGTAAGCAGTGCTTAAGGCAGAAAACACACAGCATAAGTATGAGTAAATGCAGAGGTCTTGTTTCTAGTGCAGCAGCTCTAATGACAAATGCCACAGTCTTCTTTGTATGGGCATTTTTTTTTTAACAGTTGTTGTCAGTTTGCAGACCTGTTGTCGAGCATCCTCCAGAGCCTCCTCCAGCTTTCGGCTCAGCAGCGAACATTCCCGTGATTTGTCCTCCAGGCGGAGCTGGTTGCTGTGGATGGTGTCTTCACGTTTGGTTACGACCGCCAGCAGGTCGCTGTTCTGACTGCCAGCCTCCTCCAGCTTCCTGCAAGATCACAACAACAGGATCCGTATTACGATACACTATACCCGACTTACTTTGAGAATGAGCTTACATAGATCCACTTAGGATGGGAAATGTTAACAAATTAAGGCTGAAAACACTGGAGTTATTTTGCTGCAAATTCATCTACGTCATGTCAGCATTATACTTCTCATACATCCCCTAAAGACCCAAACCTGAAGTGTGACTGTCCAGAAAAATTGTGCAAATTGTCACAGCAGAAGTGTTGACTGACCTTTCCAAGCTGTCGACTCTGTGCTGCAGCTGTCTGTTCTCCTCCATCAGCAGCTTGTTCTTCTGTCTGAGAAGCTCCATCTGGCTGCTCTGAGTCTCCACCTAACACAACACAAGACAAGTCTTTGATAACAAGACCTGGACTATTTGTTTTTCTTCTTAAAGCTACACTAAACAAACACTTCCTGCATTTGTAGTGGCTGACAACATAATCTATCAGGGTTGATGAGATATTTAAAGAGGACATATTGTCCTCCTTTTCAAACAGTCCCCTGTGGTCTAAATGAAACATCTGTGCTGTGCTTTGGTCAAAATATAACATGAATCAAGCACCAGAGGAGGTTTGTGACCCTGTATAAACCAGCTCTCTCAGAACGCTCTGTTTTGGTGTGTGTGTTACTTTAAATGTAATGAGCCCCCCCTGAGTTTTCCCTGTAGACGTCGATCCTCTGTAGCCAGAATAAAAATGGTGGCCTGCACAAAAGTTTTGTTCTAGGCTGGGGGTGGAGTCCATTGGTGGAGATACCAGGAGAGGGGAGGGGACTTTTTTTTTACCAGAATCCCACTGTGACATCACAAGGAGAGCACATTTGAAACAGAGCATTTTTCAGTAGACACAAATTTATGTTCAAAAACACTGTACAAGTGGATTTTTCCAGAATATGTCGCCTTTAAAGAAAAGCCTTTAGTTCATGAAATCAATATGTAATGTGTCCAAAGATGACATAAAATTAAGTCTGCAACTTATGTTCAATTAGATTTAGTACTTGGATTCAGTGTGCTCCAGGAAGGGAAGCCCTCACAAAGTATTAACCAGAGTGTCCTGGTAACTAACTTCTTACATCAGCACTTTGTTATTTTGTGAAGCTAACGTGAGTGTGACTGTTGTGACCTTCATGCGGAGATCCGTCAGTGTCGTGCTGAGCTCCTTGCTGCGTCTCTCTTGGCTGCGCTCCCTCTCCTGAGCCTCCTGCAGCTGCACTTTGGAGCGTCTTAAAGCTTCAGGGAGAGGCTCCAGCTCCGTTAGCCGACCAAGCAGCTGCCTGCGCACCTCCTCGACCTCCTTCTCCAACTCCGCCCGCACCGCCTGCGCCTCCTGCTCCGCCTGAGCCAGCCGGGCACGGTACTCATCTGCCTCAGCGCGCGTATTTCCAACCTGTGAGGCATAGGTTGAATTAAAGAAAGAAAAAGACAAATAGAGTCATGTTTGTTTCTAGTTAAAAAAAAATACTCTTCCTCTGTAACAGAAAGGTCCATCTCTATAGGGATCCTTTCTTTGATTTTAGAATAACAATCTGAGTCAGTCAGAGACAAATCCAAGAAACTTAAGTGGACTTTGTCTGACTGGCAGAATGATGCTGCAGCCATTACAGCCAGTCTCACGGCTGCAGGATAAAAAAAACTACTGCAGCAATTCAAAACCTGTTGTACAAGAGTCTCTGCAGAAGTACAACCTGCTGTGCTGTCACGGTCTCATTGGGTTTAACAAAGAAGTTTTCACACACCTGGATCTTATAGCTGTCCACCAGGCTCTCATACTGCTGGATGGAAGCTTTGACCTGCTGGAGCTCAGACTGTGACAAGGCCAGCTTCTCCTCCACTGTCGACGCTGTTGCCTGATGGATTATTTCATAGTTATTAAATTAACATGACAGTCCCCCCTCCTAATGTAATACAAGTCAGTTTAAGTGGATCAGGGTTTGAGAAACAGGACAGGAAGGACACTGTCCTACGTAGAAAATTATTCTCAGCTCTCTGTGGACAGTCAGGTGTCCCACCTTGAGGGTCTGCTTCTCCAGTTTGGCTGCGGAGCCCTCTGTGGTCAGAGCGTGCAGGTGATCCAGCAGAGCTTCTCTCTCCACTCGACTCTTCTCCTCCGAGCTCTGCAGCTGCTCCGTCAGCTCCGCTACACGGCTGCAACACATCACACCGCAGCTGGCATGTTTTCATTCATTAATGGCAACAAGAGAGGAGTTCAGAACCAGAAGCAACGCTTACTTTTCACAGGTTGATAAACAAAGTCTGATGATTTGAGGGATAATATTTGGATGTTTCTTATGAGCAAACCACCAATGCAAACAGATTCATTCACAGGCCTGACATATCAGATCTTACAGGTTTTTACAATGCTGTAAGATCACTCACTAAGCTAATCTAGTCTAATTTGTTATTTTAGAAGCAATCAACAATAAAAAAAAAGTTTACATCACCATCAGAGATTCTTAGAGACTTGGAATACAGTGACTATAATCTCAAAAATCTTCAAAGAGGATGTTTTATGGCTGAGATATCAATTCACAAGACGTAAGCATGGAAACTATTTGCAGTGAGGTTGTCAAAATATCTGATACTTCAGTAATATTCAATGCAATGCTTTAAAACGATACACTTTATGAACACTCATGGCTGATAAGATTGAAAACTACCACCGATTATTCATACTTTAACCCAAATTTGATGCAAGCGAGAGAGAGAGAGAGAGAGAAGTGGAGGTCATTTCAAATTCACAGGTCAGCAAATTTGACATTTCTTAAGTCCTTTTGGAGTCTCAAAAAGATTAGAAAGTTACATTGATGTGTCTTTCAAACAGACAGAGAGCGGAGGAGGTGACTGTCTAAATTGCAAAATATGTTGCCACATTTCGGAACTGAAACATAGTTAAGCAATCTAGACTGTGCAAGTCTAGATTGTTGTATCGTTCTATTTAAAACTTCACAGAATAATAAAAAGTGAATGTATAAATTGTCACTAGAGCTGTCCCTTCCATGCATGACATCAGTGATTTGTCTTTCAGATGTTTAAGACTCCTCAATGCAAACTAAACCGGGTGTTTAAACAAAGAAATCTCCAGACTCACGGCATCTGATAATCACAAAAACAAGCTGCTTTTACCTTTTCATCAATGAAACCTCGATCTCCAGTTTACTCTTTTCTCTCACTTCTTGTGCATGTCGACTCTGCCAGCTCTCCGCTGCATTCAGCGCTTCGGTCACCTGTTGCTCCTGGAGGAATAAAAACAAACTTCATGAGTCTCATTTGGAGATTTGCTTGATTCAGACAGACAGAGAGAACATGTGGGCGTTTGTAGAGAATGAACATAAAGACACATGAATGCCAAAGGAAACAAGAGAACAGTTCGTGATGGACTGTTTGTTAAATATATGGCCTATAACCTCATTAATATATAAACCTAACATGTCTGTGTCTTGAGCAGTCTGTGACTGATCTTTCCAGTCCGTACCAAGTTCAGTAGCTGGACGCTGAGCTGGCCTGCGGTGCCCTCACTGCGCTCCGCTCTCTGTTTCTGAGCTCTGGTGGCTCGTTTCAGAGCCTCTCTGTCTGAACTCGCCTGCTGCTTCATCCTCTCCAGCTGCTCCTTCAGACGCTCCAGCTCCGCCTTCTGCTGATTGGCTGCTCGCTCCAGATTCTGGACAGATAGAAATCCAAAATCAAAACATCATAACAGGATGGTTTCACACTGCTGTCTGTTTCCAGAGCTGTGTATTAACAATGGTTAGAACATTGTGCGACTGCAGCAGCCTTGACACATGCAGACATACAGAGCATGACAAACCTTTATCTGCACAGAGAGCCGGTTGTTTTCAGCCTCTTTACTCCGGAGCTGTCCTTGTAAATGAGCTCTTGTCGACTCCAGACTCTTCGACAGCTCAGACGTGCTCTTTGCGTTTTCCTTTTTCATAAAAAACCACACATTATGCATCACATACATTCACATCCTGCAACAAGACAAGAGATGAAACACCAACAGCTGTACCTTCTCAGAGTCGAGGAGTTTGCAGAGCTGATTGAGCTCTCTGTCTTTCTCTTGAAGTTTCACCACAAGATGCTTCAAAAAGAAGAAGAGCACATTTCAAACACAGGAGGAGAAGTCATCATGTCTTATATGAAGATGAAAAGAACCAGTCAAGAAGGGAAAATACTAAATCAGCATGAAACAGAAAGGTAGCCAGCATAGCGTAAACTCACTGCATGTTCTGCCTCTGTGTCGGCCAGTGTCTTCAGTAAAGCTTCTTTCTGCTCTGACAAACGAACCGTCTCCATCTGCTCACAAAAAGTAACACAACAAATAACCATTAGTTATTCTGCTTAATACATTTTTCCACAAAATTCCACCAGGTTCCCACCCAAAGAGCCATCAAAGACTGTCAGCCATCCGCAAACTGAAAGGACTCTATGTTGCCCCCCATCTCCTCCTGCTGCTATATCAGAGCATGATCCATCTTACTGTACTGTTCCACCTGCTTCTTTAACATGTTGTCTGTAAAAAACAAGGCCAAAGTCACACACATCACAAACCACAGCTGCCAGAATAGTCGGTCTCCCCACACCCAACCTAACAGAACTCAATAACAGGGCCATCACACGCATTGCAACCTCAATAGAACAGTACATCACACACCCACTGAACACTCACCTCGCCCCACTTCCCTCAGGACGGAGGTATAGAGGTGCAGAAAGGCTCGCCTCGGCAGGAGCCTGATCCCTGTGGTTATAGCGGCCCTAAACAAAAGGCCTCGCTGAACAGGCCAGAGTGGGAACTCTTGACCTTTTGTCTATCTCTGTTTGTGTTATACTCTGTTTTCTGTGTATAAATATTCTTTGGTGGGACAGTAACGGTGATGTGGAAAAGAATTTCCCCTTGGGGACAATAAAGTCTAAAGTCTAAAGTCTAATACACAGAAAACAAGAATCGACTTTACATACAGCGGGGAATCAGCAGGGAATTTGACTCCTTGGTGTTTGGTTACAGATTTGAAAATGCATTTCAGACACAGTACCTGTGAGCCGTGCTGCTCTCTGAGAAGGTGTCGCAGTGTTCGGTTTGTGGCCTCAAACGTCTCCAGTTTCTGCAGCAGCAAATCCTTTTGACGAGCCAAGATCGAAGACTCAGATCCGGAGAGTTTCTTCTGCTGAGATGGAGACATGAGACAAACGGATCCTTAAACTCTTTAATACATGATCATTTCACGATGAATCATTTCACTTGACTGACGTGGATGTTTTATAAATGTTTCTGTAAACACAGACTGAGGACAAACACCGAGTTCATACTCACATCGCCGCTCCCTCGGCACAGTTTGGAGACCGACTCTCGCAGCTCGGAAACTTGTTTTGCAGCTGCCGTCCCGTCCACCTCGGCCTCCATCAGCTTCCTGAGCAGAGTGTCTTTATCTTTGATCACTCCGTCTCTGTCTAATCTGTGACGACAGAAAGACAGATTCTTTCTGATATAAACCTTTGTATGACTTATTGTAGCACCAGTAATCCTTCTAGAGATTCCTGGTTATTAATAAAGTCTCATGTGAAGCTCTGTGAGAGGGGAGTATGATATCTACCTGCTGTAGTCGCCCTCCTCCATCATCTTCTCCATGGAGTGACGTAGTCGAGTGTTCTCTCGCTCCGTCTCTTCCAGCTCCTTCGTCACCTCCACCAGCTCCTCCTCCTGTTCGGCGATCACCCGCTGGGAGACGCTCAGCTGCTCCGACTGTCGCTCCAGCAGCTGCTCCTTCTTCCGCAGCTCCACCTACAAACACAAACACACAAAACACAAAATGTGACCGATCTTAAAGTTTATCCATGACGGACCTGCTCAGAGGGACAAACTCACCTCGTTCTTCAGAGAGCTGACTTCAGTCATCAAGCTGTCGATCTTCTTCTCATACTGGCTGATTCTCCCGTGCAGACCCTCCTCTTCCTCTGATGTGAGGTCAGCCAATCGCAGCGCAGACTGGGAATGTTCAGGTTCAGGTTCAGGTTCAGGGTGCGGCAGTGAGATCTCAAGGCGGTGTGATGGCCCTAGGTGCGAACAACCTTTAATAATAAAACCACTCATCTTTGGCTGGATGAATATTTAACAATGCAAAGATAAAATTAATCTCAAGTGGATGTGATTTGAAGCATTGGTAGCCTAGTGGTTAGTGCACCCGCACCATGTACAGAGGCCATGGTCCTATAAGCTGGCGGCCCGAGTTCCAAACCGACCCGTGACTCCTTTCCCTCTCTCTCTCCCCAATGTCTGACTCTATCCACTGTCCTATCTCTGAAAAAAGGCATACAAATCTAAAAAAATAACCCTTACACCTAATCTGAATCTTAAGAACGTGTTACCTCCCACATGTGTGTGGCGTCCCGTATGGAGGCCTTTCCTGGGGGTATCCATGGCACTCGAGTTTTGACCTTGGCTGAGGGATGAAGGATTCCTCTGTCGGCTTTGGCCTTGCTCTTTGAAAGGCAGAAACACGTGAACAAAAATGAGTGGAATGAGTAGCACAAGACTTTTGATAAGTTAATAAAAGAGAAAAGTATCAAAGGGTGCATATCCAACCTGTGGTGTCCTGGTAGGACTGGTCCTCTTGCTCTTCACGTGAACATGGACGGGTGTCGCATCATCAACATGCACATGAATAGGAGGCGAACTTGACCGAATTCTCATTGCTTTCCTCTGGAGAAACACAAGACACAAGTTTCTCTGTTCACGTCGTCACGATTTAATTTAGTAAGATGTGTCAAACGCATGACATGAAAATCTGAGAGGGTTTGAGGTGCAGCAGATTAAGTCCATGCAAAAATATGTACAAGTATAGTCATCTACTATCCCCCCTAGATATAAGAGGTTAAAGTTTCTATAACAGTATATCTGGGATTTTAATTTCAAGACATTTGTGTAATTGCTGTCCTAAATATAAAACCATCATAAAGGCAAAATCATGGTATTTTACAGTTAACTCATAAGCCATTTTATTTTCTGAATTTTGCAAAGTGTGTGTCTTTGGAATTGAAAATATGGACTATATAAATCAAAGACTTTTAGGGAAAATAAAGTGTAACCTCAAAGTTTGAAGCCAACACAAGCCAATCCCTTTCATAATAAATAATAAGTTAAATCAAAAATGGTAACATCTTCACAAAACAGTCATGCTATAAATATACAACACATACATTAATACTGTTGCATGCAAGCAAATAAATTCGGCTCTATTTATGATACTTGTGGAGGGAGTTTTAGTCTTTAAAATGTATTTTAGCAACATTTATGTTATACATTAGCCTTAAACTAGCTTACCAGCTAACCCTGACAGTAGTTCGTTCAGCCTCTCTCAGTTATTTTAACACGTTATTAAAGTCTTACCATATGAGAAACCACAACACGCTGGTGAGGACTTATAAATATAATTCATGAGCAAAAGAGAAATCTTTTAGCAGGCAAATAACGCAGGTAATCGTGAAAGTCTGTGTTGAGGAAAGCTTGGACAAACTTCAACAGATAGTGACGCTAACGTCTCTCTGATTGGGTCGTTTAAAGCACGTGATCAGCGTCTCCGACTGTGATTGGGTTAGAGTCGAAATTCTAACGTTCCTTAGCAACACCCTCAACTCAACAAGCTTGGGTAGGATCAGAGATACTCAGTGGGTTAAGATAGTTACCCCCCTTTTCGTGTTCACATTCACATGACGGAACGAACGGAACCTAAAAAACAGAAATACAAATCTGTTGACGAACAGGTGTTTTAATTATTTCTCTTTAACCGTATTTTTGTTGGGAATACCCACAGAAAACACGCAAGTGAAACCTTAATAAAAGGATCATCGTGAAGAGGCGCCCCGAGTTGACATGCAGTACTTACGCTTGGCCGCTGGGTGTCGACAAATTACTATTTATTTTCCTTTGTTCAGGCATAAAACCAACCAACTCAGTTTGCGCCAATAAATCTGGTTAATTAAATTAAAATAAAGCCTAATACTCTACTGTGAAATATAAAGGAGGTGTTAGATAAAGGGCTCTTCTATGCATGGTACAGTGCATATAAATAGTTTATTGGAAGTTTAAATCAGCACTAACATGGTTACACATTTAGTGTAAGATTTTCTCATAGTCCACTATACACAGCTCCTACATTGCACCTTTTGTGTCATATTTATTTTTATATTTTTAAATTCTATTTTATATATTGTAATAGCTTCTTATACTGTATTATTTAAGTTGTTGCTAGTTCTGCGTTATTTTGTTAATTGTTTAGCACCAATACACCAAGTCAAATTCCTTATATGTGTAAATGTACTTGGCAATAAAACCCGATTCTGATTCTGAGAAAGTAACAATAATAATACAAATCTGTATTATCATGCTGACATTGGAAATGTTCACTGTGACCCCTAAAGAGCAGACAGTACTCAGGATTTATAATACTGTATCTACTATAAGTCTTCTAATTATATATATAGATCAAGTGTTTCAACCTGGTTTAGTTTCATATTATTTTGTTTGAGAACTGTACTGACACAGTTTACGGTTCCTTTTGCATAAACTCTGAGCCTGCAAGATTTTTCATGTAATTCAAAAGTTAAATAGTATCTTGTGAATCTTAATGTTCCTAGTATTAACAGCTTATGTTTCTTTATTCCGATAAAGATAAAAATATAATATTTGATATGAAGCCAGCTCGTGAGCAAATCAATCAACTAAATCTGACTATATAAATGTGTCATTCTTCATTAATCTGAAGTGAATTAGGAAATTATTTATTTTTCATTTAGAAACCTTAATGAAACAATTGGACTTGAATGCATTTGCACATTCACAGTTAATGTTACTATCCCTCCTAAATCAATCAAACTAAATAACTAACCTCTTCTGCAGCCAGCCTCTAGTGGACACTCCATGAACTGCAGGATTTTGCACTTCCGCATTAACTTCATTTTTGAACACCGCAGGTTTCTAGTGTCAGTCCACACTCATCACACTCCTCTTTTGTTTTGAATCATGAATAGACAGAAACAGCTCTACACACAGACAGAACAGAAGCTAAAAGTGACTTTGTTTATTCTTATAGATATCATTATGATCAGAGAACAGTGTCACGCCACTGTTTGGGTTATTTTCCATTCAATAACGCTTCTTTTGTGCCATGATGCATCGACCTTTGATGGAGTAGAGTTCAGGGAAACACACCGTACAATAACATGTTATAAACATAGAAATATGAGAGTCTGAGATTCAACGTACAAACTTTGTCAACATGCAGTATTTGACCATTTAAATGAATGCAATTCTTCACTTCTTCTTCTGTTCTGATAAATGCACAAAATATGTTTACGCTTTTTTTGTTCTTGTCGTTGCTGCTGCTCCTCTGCACAGTAAAAAGAAAAAAAAAATCATGATTGGATTTGCACAGTCAGCATAGTTGAGAGCACCGCTGGCTGTGAGATGTTTTTAAATTCAGTTATTGCTGCAGAGGAGAGAAACCAGCCGACATGTTTCGCACATCTCAGACAGAAGAGGTTAAAAAAAGTGACGTCAGATGAAAACCGAAAATCATCGTTCACCATCTTTAACTCTTTGTTAGAAAAAGAAGTCACCAGTGTGAAGAGCTGGTCTGAACAATCACAGAAGGACAAGGGAGGGAATTCATCTTTTTTCTTTTTTTTTTTGGTCTCCCCCTAAAGCACGACAAACAGGATCATAACAATATCAAACTTCATAAAGTGCAAGCCCACAATATCTGAATCTGTCGACACGAGGGAGCGCCGCGTTTTTACTCTCTGAAAAGAGGAGAAGCGTAGAAACGGCTCACTCTCCCACACAGACAGAAACATGGAGAACACAAGTTTCCCTCTCTTCAAGTCGTCGGACGGCTGGAATGTAACGTCTTTAGAAAAAATGGCAACAGAACAAAATGAACATTTGGCTCCGACTTCATATTTCATCACACACAACTACTGAACAAACACGCCTGTGCCAAAACATCGCTTTACATCATCTGTACACAAACTCAATAAATAGAACAAACGCCAACGAAATATTGTTTGATATGGATCATCTCCGTCCGCTTCCAGCTCGACTTCCTCTGCAGGGATGCTTTATTTATTTCAACGTTTCAGGGGAGGGGCAGTTATCTGTCAGCTGGTTTTATTCTACGTCGCTCTGTGCTGCTTTCAGTCCTCACGCTGGTGTGGAAACAAGCGAAGCTCAAACTGAAATATATACATGAGGTGATGAGAGAGAAGCGCGCCTCTCTACAAGTGCTAGCTAAGCTAACATTCCTGCTTTTTTTTTTTTTTTTTTTTTTAAATAAAGAGCAGCTCAAAAGTTAGATAATCGGACGCTTGTTTGACCATCTTGCTTTTTTTTGTGTGTTCTGGGAGTTTTAAAAGTGAATTCAGGGATCAAGATGGAGTAAAGATGGTTCAGGTCGAGCAACATGGTCGCTGCTATGAGTCCAACAGACGAGAAAGAAAATGGCTGCCTGGTTTAAGGCCTTGCACAGGACGCTGCGCGTGCTCCACTCTATTCCTCAGCCATGAACTACCAACATGTTTTATCTCAAGAGCAGCAACTACCGTGACTGAATAATGTAGCCATGCAAAGCAAACTTGAACCTGATTGGCTGAACACTTAACCTCTGAGGGCGGATATACTTAGTGATTTTGTTTACCGGACAAAATCGACCGGACGACCGGGACAGGACGTTTTATTTAGGCCAGCTACCTATTGTATTTCTTTTTAGACAAGAAACTTCTCGCTCGAGACGAAGTTAAACACAACCCAAAGGTAAAGGTCAAATTAGACTCAGTCGTCGTGGTTGCTGCGCGTTCATCCCTCCTCATCTTCACCCAGTAACTAAAACATCGGGGTGTGAAAGCTTAAGGCAGTGGATCCAGAAAGCCAGAGTTGAAGTTAAAGATCACTTGTGTTGCCTCTAGTTTCTGCGTAAGCGAGCTAACGATGATCTGTTCGACCTTTTAAAACACGAGAGTCCCGTCAGCGTTAAGGTAACAGAGGTGTTTGGCAAATCATTGAAGCGTTTAAAAGCACCGGTGCATGTTGGCGTTTTCCGTTTTCCTTCAGTCATCAAACACATCGCTGTCTCGTTTGTTGCCGTGACAACAAACAAACAGGCCCATGCAGCACATGCACAGGCTCCTCCCCTAAACGCTGATCGATCGAAGAAAATCTTCAAAGTCTTTCAATGTCCGTAAAGGTGGAGGCTGTTTTGGCTACAAATAAGAACAAAAGTGATGCGTCTCTCTCTCTTTTTTTTTTTTTTGCATGCAGATACAGCACAGTGATGTGGAGAAAGAAACACTTTAAATACGCACAAAAGGCCGGCGGTTAAAGGTCAAAAGATGGCCTGCTGGTTAATGAGGTGAAGGAGCGAGATATCTACAAGTGAACACGACCTCATGCACCTCAGCCTGCTACAAGTTAAGCTGCTATACAGCGAGCACTGTTTGGCAAAAACACAAAGAACAGTAAGAATCGTTTGGCTGAAATCGTTCAGACTCCAACCGTGTGTGTGCTAACATTGAACTTTAATAATTAAATATTTACTGACACAGTGACGCTCATCTCAAAGCTGCCTACAGAGAGGAGAAGTCAAACCTCTCTCTCTCTCTCTCTCTCTCGTTTTACGCTCAGACTGTTCAGACCAAAACAAAACACATTTCCAGGTCATGACATCATCGGCACACAGCTGCGTTTATTTACCCTCCTCCTCCTCCTCCTCCTCCAAGAACCGGGTCTGGAGGAACTTTCCTGATGCTACTAGATACTTGAGGTGGACCAGGTCCCAGTCTGACCTGTCAGCTAGGATCAGTACCAGGTCCCAGTCTTGATGACCTGTTAGCTAGGATCAGTACCAGGTCCCAGTCTGACCTGTTAGCTAGGATCAGTACCAGGTCCCAGTCTGACCTGTTAGCTAGGATCAGTACCAGGTCCCAGTCTGACCTGTTAGCTAGGATCAGTACCAGGTCCCAGTCTGATGAAAGGATGCTGAAATCATGAAAGGAAAAAGTCTGAATTTGGGGCGCTGGTAGCTTAGTGGTTTGTGCATGCATCCCATGCCCAGAGGCTAAAGTCCTGGAAAGTGGGCGGCCCAGGTTTGATTCCGACCTGTGGCTCCTCCTGCATGTTGGTCCCTACTCTCTCTCCCCCTGTCCCTCCCTCTATCCACTGTCTTCTCTCTAAAAATGGAGGCATAATAAGTCCCAAAAATAAAGTCTGATTTCATGATTTGTCAGGACGGACTGCAAGACGCCGAGAGAACGACTTTTAATATGCTTTTTTTTTTTTTTTTTTTTTTAAATGGAGTTTGGATGAAACATTCCTGATGCACCATCAGACTCTCTTACTAAAAATTCACTGCAAAATTCAACTTGCACAAATATGCAAATGACCTGAATTCTGTGTATTCATGTCCAACCGTGCCGCACCAGAAATCCACTTTTCTTTTGGTCTGAACAGTCGACACAACCTTCACTCTATAAACAACGATAAATATTATTTTAAAAAACACAAAAAAAAGACTTCTGACTTCTTGACATTTATGTGACATGACTGAGGCTGCAGCTTCAACCGAGTCGAAAAAGTTTTCTGCAGCCTCTCTTTTGTTTGTTTTCTCTTCTGACACGATGCTGAATTAACGAGGAAAGCCACCGAGACTCCGATATGGGGAATTTATACATGAGCTGAAACCCTCTGGCTGATCGATGGGAACATCTTTCATGTTTCAAGAGTAAACAGATGCAGGGCGTGATGTGAATGTGCTGAAATTCTTTACCTGTAAAAAACAGAAAGAGTGTGAGGGCTCTGGCAGTTGAGTCTGTATGTACACTGATGCCATGCGGCCCTGTGGGAACGTGTTAGTAGGCTTCCAGTGAATCATCCCAGAATAGACTCTGCACGTCCAGCATGGCGGCCAGCTCCAGGATGTGCTTCTGCAGGACACTGCTCTCCACCGTGTCCTGTTTGGGGAGCTCGGGGTACGACTCCGGGAAACTCCGAGATTCCTGAAAGCACAGCACAAGACACAGCTGACTCCCACCTAAACGCCATTAGCACGCTTTGACTGGATGGATACGTCTTCTTTAACGACCTTGGAAACCCGTCCACACTTATGACATTTGTGACGGCGTCTTTTCAACACTTCTCTTGAAAGTCACCAGACTCCATTGACAAAAACACACTTCTGTCTCTCTTGTATTTTTTGTTTTTCATGAAATATCTAAGGCACCGTTTTGGACGCCCCTCGGTTTGCCAGATATGAGAGCAGTTATCAGGTCAACAGGTGTTGCAGCGATGGAAGCGGGCAAGAGAAGTGGTTCAGATAGAAGTGATTGTACCCGACCTAAAAAGCCTCTGCATGTTTCTAATAAGCTCCACGAGCAGAAACGTGCTCAAACTAGGATCAATATTGGAGATGCTTTTGAAAAATGGAGAGAGGTTAGAACACAGAAAGGTTTACAGACCGATGCAGAGCTGGATAAACACTGAAGCTTCAGTGTCCACCACATGGTGACCTGTGTGAGCATGGACTCTAGAGAGGAGGGGGGGGAGACAGCTCTCTATGATGTTTAGAATTCAGACTGCAGTACCCGTTTTAAACACTAGGGGTCAGAGAACATACTGCTCCTTTAAGAGGACTGGAGGGTTGGCGACTGAGCTATATCACGTCTTGTCTCCCAGGAAAGCGGAACCTTTCTTTTAAACTTTTAAAATCCTGACGCAGGATGAAAAACATTTGTCTCTTTTTTAAATATCTGACAGCTCTGGAGTGTGATGTGATGTTTGAGTATCACCAGTAGCACCAGTGCAGCAGCAGACCTTGTTGGAGCACTTCGCTTTAAATAGAAACTCTGAGGTGCTTTTTGGATGTGAGTGTGCGTTACATGTTTTGTCAGTTGGACTTTTTTTTCCCAGAAGCCGAGCACACTTTGCTCTGTGCCTGATGGTCCGTGTTAAGTGCTGCAGACCAGCGGCCCAGGTTACTTACTGGGACAGACTCGCTCTGAACCAATTATTATATTTTTGGCTTCCCAAAACAAAAAAAAATGGAAAAGTTACTCCGCAGTGACTCACCCGGAAGAGTTTGTGCAGCCGGAGTGCAGCTGAGCAGAACACAAAACGGATCAGAAGCAGCCGCAGGAACTCGTCACCAAAGAATTGTAAAAAGGCTTGATCTGCGGAGAGACGAGGAAGTCAGACACAATAACCACAATATGCTTTTATACATGTTTTATGGGGGGATTATTGCGTCCTCTTCTGAGTTTTAATTTGAAATCAAAGGAAAAGAAAGATATGTAACATGCAGAGACAGTCCCAGCCTTTTTTTTCCCCCTGATTCCTTCAACAAGTTTGACTCTTCTAACAATAGTTCTTACTCAACAGGCTGCTTTTTCACTAATTCCTTTCCTCTACTTGATGCTCGGTCATTCTTCGATAAGCTCTTGGGTTTTTTTAAACAGTTGGCAAAAGGAGAAAACTGTGACATGAGAGGCGGGGTCAACCCTGGACCGGTTGCCACACATGGTAAATGGACTTTTCTAGTCACACCTTCACATTCACACACTGATAGTAGAGCGATTTTCTTCTTACCTATGGTTCGTGATCGGGTTATCATCTGGCCGATGTCATGGTAAACTTTGCTTAGAAATTCTTGCGCCTGCTCCCACAGTCCTCGCCGCAGGCTGTTTAAACCGCACACAGAGGAGAAGGCGAGGAGGGGGCTGTAGAGGAAGAGCGTGAACAGACTCCCCCGCTGAGACTGATCTGAACACCGGGAGAGAGGAGGGAGCAGGAGGGACATTTTAGCTTCATGATGATGCCATCAAAGGGCCTGAGAATGTTACATCTACACACTTTATCAAAAGGTCTACAGGCAGAATAAAATACATAAACACTGAAGAACATCCCCAGATTGACATGTTCAGAAGTGACGCCCACCTTGCACACTCTTTGGATAGACGGTAGGTGAGAGAAGGCAGACCAGAGGCTGACCGAACAGATTAGTGAAATTCTGTCAGGATAAACCAAAAACAGGAGAGGTCATATGAATGAGATGGGAACATAAAGCTGACACTTCTCACTGAGTCTGTGATGCGCTGAAATCTGCAGATTAAACTGTCCTTAAAATCAGAAGCGCCAGCTTCTTTTTTCAGTTGTTTTCAAAGAGTAGAGAGCGACTGCAACAGAAAGCAGCGGACTGGAGAAAAAGCGCAGCGCCCAGCGGCTATTTTACGAGCGCTCCGTGTACGTACCTTGAATGCTGTGCTGTTTGTAGAATCCACGATGACAAAAAGGGGTTTCCGGGTGAAAGGGAACAAATCTCCTGGATGAAGGCTGCAGCGTTAGAAACAGAACATGTCAGGAAGAAAACGGATTAAAAAGAAACAGAATAACTGAAAAGAGACAGGAAACGTTGAGAGGAGAGGGGGGGTGGGGGGCATGCAGCAAAGGGCCGAGGTGGGATTTGAACCCACGGCCGCTGTTGTGAGGACTATAGCCTCCGTACACCACTAGGCCTTTCCACCGCTGTCCCTGACGCCAGCTTCTTAAATGAATATTTTGCGTTTGTGCATTTACATTTTTTTTTTCATCAGATATCTTTTACCAGAAGACAATTAATAATATTGGACGTTAACCCATTGCTCCTCACCAGTGCATTTCTTTCTGCGCCTGATTCCTCTTCTGCACCGTCTCTCCATTCACCACGTCTCTGTTCGTGTTGGTCAGAACTCCCCCGAAATCATACGGCCCTGCAGAGATGAGCAAAGATAACAGGATGAAGAGAGAGGGAGAGAGAGGGAGAAGGAGAGGGAGAGGGAGAGGGAAGAGAGAGAGAAGGAAAAAGAGAGAGAGGGGGGGGGGCTTTGCCTTTTCTATGCGAGTCCTAAATCTCAAGCTCCTGGTCTCTACTGAGTCACTTCTTAAAACCTGTCTTCATAAAAAAGTTTTATTAAATCTTGTAAAGCAGTAACATAGGATTTGTTTGCTGTTGCAGAGTGAAATAAAAAGGTGTCTCTATCTTCGATCATTCACCTTCATAGTCGGTGTGACCTGTAGGGAAGACTCCGGTCGCTGACAGGTAGACGAGCAGGACGCTGTTGGCAGGTAACTCCTGGAAATGTGAGAGTTAACGTCAAAAAAGAAAAGTGGTCAGAAGCTTAAGTTTAAACTGGGAGAAAGGGAACTGGATAATCTATCCAAACACTGGTCCACATATTGTAACGCTGCATGCCTCAGAATAAACATCTGATTATTTCGTGATTGGAGAGTTCACTGACCTTAAAAGAGGCGGAGAGGAAGGTAAAAAGCTGACTGAACGTTGGTTTGTAGAGCAAATACTTGTGAGGGTTTTCTCTCTTGGCTGGTTTCTCAATGGGCTCCTGTGGAGGAACATTAATAACGTCACCGTTCATACATGACATAAAGGTCGACAGGACTACGGCTCGTCTTTTAGAGGCAACAGCTCAGTCTGCAGTCCCGGTGCGGACCAAATCAACGACCACATCGTCGAGATATTGGGACAGGACACTCACCAGCGTTCCTTGTTTGGAGGTCTGCGTGGCGAGGTTCACGGGCTCTCTCTCCAGAGCTTGGAGCATGCGGAACATATCGATGGTTAACTCGCTGAACTTCACCTGAAAGAGGGAAAAAATCATCATCTTTAATGTTCAGAGACTCATCAGGGGTTAATATTTTAAGAGATTTAAAGTTTTACAGACGAGACAGAAGTTGAGTTTCTAGAAGATATTAAAGGCAGGGTTGGTCATTTTGGAAAAACTGGCATGATTTTGAAAGTAACGTTCCCTCAGTGCTCCGTCTACACCCCCCTCCCCTCTAAAGCCACGCCCCCTCACTCACATGCATGTGTGCCGTTGCTCCAGAAGCAGACTTCAGCTCATCTCTTACATTGCATAGAAACTACGTCTCATGTCTCATTCAGAGGTAAGTAAACTCACAGTGTAAACTCTGTCATCTGTCACACTCTCTGAGTGTGAGCTAGAGCACGCAAGAGGTAGAGAGCGAACAAGAAGACAGGGAGGCGTCTGATTGGTTCATCCGATTGGCACCTCTTGGCAGACATTGGTCGAAGTTTTTACAGACTTACAACTGATACAGATGATGGATTTTCTTTGTTCCTTTTTCAGAGAACATGAGTTATTAATTTCTGTCAGGACATAAAGACAATTTCAACAAAAATCTTAAAAAGTGGATCTGGAGGAAATGACCAACCCTGACTTCAAGATGAAAAAACTAAAGGGGTTAAAGGAAAAAATCAGAGAAAAATCCAAAATGAAGCAGCTTTTCTGGGGTTAGGTTTAGAAATAAATCAGAGAGCAGTTCAGTTAGCAGTAGAAGAACCACCATGACACTAGAATCTACAAATTAAGCCAGAAATTGTGGTGTAATTATGAGAGCTCACATGGACTTGCTGCAGAATAAATACTACAGGTCTGGCAGGAGAAACTATGGGTGATGTCCGAGTGAAAAATCTATCTGTTTGCATTCACCCATGCAGCCCCTCTTGGAAATATCAGGAGTTTTCTGCAAGTGTGAAAGCCCTATGAGCTGCTCTGTCTACCATCTTGCCGCTTGTTTTAACGGTCATGTCTCATCCCCTGAACACATCACTCCACCTCCTGTCCAACAGGGAAAACGTCCCGCTGTGAGGGACGTTTGTGAACGAGCAACTCAGGAAGATTTCAGAGGCAGGCGGGCGGAATTTTCCTAGACATTTTCAGGAGTGCTTGTGTGAAAACGGCTTCGGATGTAACTTCCCAAACGCAATGAGCTGCAGGTAACACGAGAGAGTGTTCAGGGTTTCATTTTGTTTGTTTTTGAAAACCAACAGGTCAAGTGATCAACAAGAACACGTGTGTGAAGGATTAGGCAGAGGTAAATTAGAATTAGTGGGTTAAAACCTGGTTGTTACAGTTGCCGATGATTAGTGCATCTGCAAGGACGAGCTGCCCAACCACCATGCCTTGTTCCAGCGGAGGCACGCTGCCCTCCAGCAGACGGTTACTGGTGACGACCACCGAGTTGTTGTCGTTCAGAACCACCACGGGGTCTGCCTGATGGACAAACGGAGAGGAAGAACAGTGAGGAACAACCGATCAAATGCATGACACTTCAACTACACAGATAAAAACTCAGCGGGCTCCTGAAGGGTAATAAAAATTCAACAGTAAGTTCTCGTTTCTGTTTCTTTTGGAGTGTTGTTACCTCCACAAAAGCTGCCACCTCCTGCAGAACCAGGTTCCACTCCAGCTGGTCCTCTGTGTTGAATCTCTGCGTGTAATCTTCAATCTCCTCCGATAACTCCTGCAGGTCACACACACACACGCACACGCACACGCACACGCATCAGGTCACAGTCGCTGGAAAAGCAACATGTCGAAACATATGGCCTTAAAATAAAATCTTAGACTTCTTCACACCAAACTGGTTTTGTATTTTTTTCACCAGAATTTCTCCTCTGGGGTTTAAGTGTGAGCTGGGAACTTGTCTTTTAAAAAAAGGTGCACGATGCAGATTCAGGGTTCATCTACACCAGGCAGACGCCTCAGCAAAATCTGACGACTGGGTGTCCAATACCTGGGAGCACCCAGTCGCTCTGTAGGACATAAACGAACGGGAACCCAAGGGGAGCGACAGAGTAAATTAAAGAGAAAATCTAGATTTTATGGCACAGCCCCGTGTTTGTGTTCTGCTTCCTCACTACCTATGTGTTTTTTAGAATTCAGAAAAGTACTGGGCAGTATTCTTTACGTTCTCAGGACCTCTTCATGCTCTCGGTCCCAAACTCTCGGTGAGAATTTGGCAAAAGAGCGTTTTCAGGTATTCTGCACCCTTAGCCTGGAATATGCTGCAGAACGACTTCAAACTCGAGGAGCTGGTGTCCTTAAATGTTTTACAATGTAAAACGTAACACGTAAATGTACAATGAAAGATCTGGAAGCAGACTCTACAGGATGTGGATGCTTAAAGCTGGACTGCTGGACTCCCGGATGGTCTTTCTCTTTAAATGCAAAATTTGAGTGTTTTTGTACTTTGTCTCTCTTTGTGTCTCCGTCTGTAACTTTGAGTTTTTACGGCTGCCTGCCTCGGCCACGTCTCCCTGGGAAAAGAGGTTCTTAATCTTAATGGGACCAACCTGGTTAAATTAAGGATTTAAAAAAAACAAACACAAGGCATCAAGGTTGTAAAAAGGTTGTGTTGTTCTGTGAGTCTGAATCGGCTTTCTGCTGTTTTCATGATCTTCTCAAAAGTTTCAAACAACACAAACTGAAGGCTTGATCGGGATAAAAACCCAAACTAGACAATCTGATCTGATGTTGTGTTGCATCTTCCTGTTGAACAACCTGCTTTCATGATTTCTATCCAGAGAGTTATCTAATCAGATCTCCAGAAGTCGCTCTCTGATTCATCCTCCAGGCTTTAAGAGAGCTCGACTAAACCTGCACTGACTGATCTGATGGTTCACTTTTATTTACTACAAACTCCACTCGATTGATCCTTTTTATTACTTCATATTTGATTTTGGGGGAAACACCCTCCTACAGTAAGGAAACCGGTGCTGCACAGCTGAGCAGATTTTGATCCCTCTGGTTTGCTGTAGTTAAAAAAACAAACGTCTTGTTTACCTTCACCAGAACTTTAACGAGGTCCATCTTGTTGAGCAGTAAACAGACGACGATGTAGCGAGCGTAGTATCGAAGCTTCTTCACTACCAGTTCTGGCCTGACGTAGAAACAAACACACAAAACTTCATCGACATGCAACGGAGCAAAACCACGGCGCAGACAGCATGCGGCGCACATGGACACTGTGGGGTTGAAGCATCGTTTGTCAAAACACTAGACCGCAATTTCTCTACAATCTAACGGAGAGGGGAATAAGTATCTAGCTCCGTTTTATAAACAGAAGAAATCTTTCCTGTAAAAACACTCATTTCCCATTGCAAACCGAACTTTAAGAGAAAACAAAAAGTGGCGCTCACCTGTCCTCTTTGTTGACCTGAAAGTAGTAGGAGCGCTGACGGATGGCAGAGTAGAAGGAAAAGGCCTCGTTCAGATAACTGGTTTCTGAGGTACGAAGGCTGTCGGTCACAGAGCGGGAGAGAAGAAGAAGAAGAAGAGGGCAAACTTTTCAGTCGTACAAAACCTACAAATAAGTAAATGTGCCTTAAAGCGCCAAACTGCTTTGACCCATTGTGTCGTCTTTAAACATGACCCGTTTGGTCGGCTGTCTTGGTGTAGGGGGTCAGTAGCTCGGTCTGTAGGGACTTGGGTCGGGAACTGGAGGGTGGAAGTTGGTCTGGTAGCTGGAGAGGTGCCGGGTCACGTCCTCCTTGAGCAAGGCACCAAACCCCCCAACCCCTGCTGCCCTCCCTGTGTAGCCCCACTCTGACATCCCTCCATCGATAGTGTGTGTGTGTGTGTGTGTGTGTGTGTGTGTGTGTGTGTGTGTGTGTGTGTGTGTGTGTGTGTGTGTGTGTGTGTGTGTGTGTGAGTACGAGAGGGAGCGGCTGAGCAGTTTAGGGTTTGGTGTCTTTCTCAAAGGCACCTCAGTAGTGCATAGGAAGTGAACTGGCACCTCTTTGGCCACCAGAGCAATTTCCAGATTTGGTCCACACCAAGACTTGAACCGGCGACCCTCTTCTTTCAAACCCAAGTTTGTACAGACTGAGCTACTGACCTCCCACGACCCAATCCACAAAGGTCTAACCATATGACCAAACAGTTCAGTTACTTTTCTTTCTTTAATTGCACATAAATACCCAAAATGAATAAGATACAGTCCCTCAGGGAAATGTGAAGAAGAAGAAAAGGCCCGAACCCTCCAGGGGCTCGTAAAGCGGCTCAAAGCAGAAAATTAAAGGACATAATTATTATTTCTCGGGGTCAGGGTCAGCTGTAGCTGAAGTCAATCAACTGTGGAGGTAATAATGATTTATTTCTAAAGGCCTAGAAAACAACCAAAATAGGGACAGAAGAAGAAGAATTACCAGTGCTCAGTTTCTGTTTTTATTTTGGTTATGGTAACTCCGCCCCCCTGAAGTAAGCGGTGCATCGGTGGACAGTGGAATTAAACACAAAGGTGGTTAGTTGAGTCCAGACTTACTAGTAGTGGTAGTAAAGTTGTCCAATTTTGGATGCAACTTCTCCAATCTGCCATCTCTTCAGTCCGTAGCGAGTGTCCAGAACCTGCCTGTCAGTAAAGAACACACACTCAAAATCTTTGCATCCACCTTTTCAAACTGTAGAGTGAACTTTACAGTGACCGACAATCACACTTCAACAGCACAAATAAATTCCACGAGGAGAAACAGGCTGCAGGTTCAGAACGATGCAAATTAGAAAACACAAAGTCCACCAACAGCAAAAGCATCAAACACGTTGCAGAATCAAACACACACATATTCAGATCAAACCTGCAGAAGAGAAACGCTGCACAGCTACCTGGAGATAACTCGAGTGTTCCTGAGCGTTCAAGTTTCCAGTCAAGATTATTTATATACCACAATTAAAAACGGCCTCAGCTGACCAAAGTGCGCCACAGACGAGGAATAACAGATTACAGACATAATAACATTTAATAAAGAGAAAGAAAACAAGAGAAACAGAATTTTTAAGTGTTTTTTCAGCTCATTTCAAAAGCACGGGAGAATAGGCGGCTTACGAGCTGTGGAGTTGGTATGTGTTTTGCCTTCTATGTCATCAGAGTCTGAATCACTGTTTAGATGTTTTGTAGTATTCTGAGAATGATTCCGCTTTATCTGTCGGTTTTACCACAATTTGTTTTGAGTTGAGGTGAATAATTTTTTTAATTGTCCTATCCGACTGGCTCTATTACCCATCTCATAACATCTTTGGCTAGTGAAACGCTAGTGAAACGTCAGCTTTACATGTCAGTAAATCTTCAAGGTCATGTCATGGAGCTCTTTGGAGGAATTTAATGAGTTAGCGCCTCTGATGAGGGGAGCCGATTGATCCCTTAAACTGGGATCTGCAACTGAAAAGGCCTCCGTTCTACTTATCGCACGTGTTTCTGTATTTGCATCGTTTCTGATTCTGTAGCTGGTTCCTCCTAATTTAAATTGCTGCGGTGTGGTTGCCCCCTGTTGGCCACCGCAGGAAACAGTAAAAGAGGAGGAAATAACCTGTGCTGCTGCTGAAACTTCCACAGCTTAGTGTAGACGTCGAACGTCCGTCCAAAGTAGGACTGCCACTGCTTGTGTCCATACTGAGGAAGGTCTCTGCAGGAGAGAGGAGAAGGAAACGGTCAGAGGAGGAGGAGGAGGAGGAGGAGAGAAAAGAGACACACAGGCATGTAAAGAAATTCTTAAAACGCATCCACCTACTATCAGAGATTTTATTACTGCTTCACATCGCGATAAAAAAATCAATAAACAGCTTCAAAAAAATGATCAAGGAGAAAAATTAAACGTCTGACGTGGTGTTCCAACTTTGTATCTTCCAGGTCTGTATTTCTGAACTCTTTCAAAATGTGAGCCGAGTGAGGATCACCTCAGACAGTCAGTGATTCAAACTTGCCTGAGGTGTCATCCTCCGCTCAGATAACAAACAGAGAGAGAGTACTTTCAGGGCGACGGGGTTAAAAAAACAGGAAGCAGTTCATCTCTCCTGGCTCCGGCTCCGTCCTTTTTGGCTCTGAATGACTCGGCGCGTTCACCGACTCCTGCTCCTCCAGATGGTCGCTCTGCCCGTGTGCTCTCACAGTCTCTCTGAGCTTATGGACAGATCCACTTTACAAACACGGACAGGGCTGAATTATTCAAAGGGTCGCTTCTTAAAGAGACAGTCTCAGGGTTCTTGTCTGGACTCGGGTCTGTTGGATTCTGTTTGATGAGCTCAGTAACCTTAAATAAACCACGGTGCGTGACAGCGTCGACCTGGTGTTTCTCCTGCAGGAGGCAGGTGAGCGGGAACATCCCCACTGTGCAACAGGGACGCCATGCTGCATGCATTCAGAATCAGCAACACTGAGCAACTAAAGAACAATTCACTGAACACAACCAGAAGTTAAGATGTTTCCAAATCCAGAAGCGGCAAAGTTCAGACTCTGATCTCTCAGCAGGAAAGGTGACTCCTCTTACACAGACACACTCTGGACTATGAGGCTTTTTAAAGAGGACATATTATCCCCCTTCTCCACCTTTTCAAACGTCCCGGTCTAAATGAAACATCTGTTCTGTGCTTTGGTCAGAATATAACATGAATCAAGCACCAGAGGAGGTTTGTGACCCTGTATAAACCAGCTCTCTCAGAACGCTCCGTTTTGGTGTGTGTCTCTTTAAATCCAATGACCTCCCCTGAGTTTCCCCGTAGACATCACTCCTCTGTAGAGAGAATAAAAATGGCAGACCTGAGCAAAAGTTTTGCTCTAGGCTGGGGCGGAGTCCATGGGTGGAGATACCAGGGGAGGGGTTTTTCTTTTTAACAGAATCCCACTGTGACATCACAAGGAGAGCACATTTGAAACGGAGCATTTTTCTCTTTGTTGTAAGACTTATGCAGACCACAAACAAAGGACTGGATGGGTTTATTTCACATTTTGATATTTTATATATATTTTTTAGAATATAAAACAACTTTAACAAACAGCCACTGATGCACAATAAGAAAGTTCATGTCAATCAATCAATTTTTATTTGTATAGCGTCAACTCATAACAAGTGTTATCTTGAGACACTTTACAAAAAGTAGGTAAAATACCTTGCTCTTTGTCTGTTAACATTACAAAAGAGCAGGTAAAAAGACCTTACTCATTGTTATATTACAAAGATCCGGCCTATCCATCATGAGCACTTTAGCAAAGCAGCAAAAGTTACAGTGGTAAGAAAAAACTGCCTTATTGAAAGGCAGAAATCTTCGGCCGGATCCCCAGCTCATGACGAAACAGCCTTCACAGGCCTAGACTGCGCCGGGTTTGGAAAGGGATAGGGATAAGATGCAGGAAGAGGGATAGGGAGCAAGGGTGTGGGGGGAGGCAAATCGTTGCCTCCCCCCACACCCCACATCATGTCCGGTCATTAATCATCTTTTTTCATTTTAATTCATGATAATGCAAAAAAACAAACATTTCATACACAACCCAGAATATTTCAAGAAGAATATGTTCAAAATGTTTGATTGATTGACCACAGGATTGAATCCTACGTCTTTTCCTGTCGACAGAGACGCTTCAACAATCTGTCCACAGAAATAAAAACAGCTTTGAAGCGTCTCTGACCTGATCCGACTCCGACTATCTTTAGCTGTTTTTACAACTTCTGATGTGCCAATGGAAACCTTTTGTGATTTCTCCTGTGATTACGTAATTGAACCAATTATCAGGCAGAGCATCGCTGACCTATTTAAAACATTCATAGGCTAATGGTGATCAGCTGATTGGTCCTCTAACACCTTTTTAAACTGCCATTTCTTTAAGGCTCAGCTCCCTCTTCACCACAACGGTTCTCCTATTACTGCTGACGCTGCACAAATCCACCGGTCAATGTCCCGCTCCATCTTACCCTCACTTGTGAACAAGGCCCTGAGATACTCAGGACGCACTCACACATGAATGGCTGTATGTATTTGTGAAGCGTGCTTAGTTTACAAGACAGGCGGACTCCAGAAATACAAAAAAGGGACGCATAGTCGAGTCTGCATCCGCATATCGGAGATCAACACAGAGAACATGACAGCTACTGACTTTGAGTCTTATTTTAAGTCATGTTAGTCAGATACAGACAGAACACTCGGGGCTTTCTCCTGAATGAAGGCTGACCATGTTCCCGTGCTTGTGCATGAACTGTACTGTGCTGGAGCACACCTCTTCCAAGTGTGCCAGGATCAAGGAAGTGTAGATCGGAGCACTCAGACTAGTCAAACAAACTGTACTTTGAAGGTAAAGAGTGCTTGGGCACCGTGTGAGCGCGCCCTAAAACTCCTTCACTTGGGGGAAACACTGACTCCCTGTCTGGTGGGAGCAAGCCGCTGTTTTCCGGCAGAGGAGCATGGCGTCGGACTCGGAGGTGCTGACCCTCATCCCAGCCGCTTCACTCTCTCCTCACAACATTTCTTATCTCTCTCTCTCTCTTCAGCTGTCCAATCCAATAAAGATAAAAATGCATGTACAACAACAGCACAATATCTATGTCCCAGGAGTAGTGGAAGCACAAGAGGCCCTACATGTAAACACACAGCGGGCGCTTCACATACAAACACACACTCAGACATTACACATCACCACAGTCCTCGCTCTATTACGCCTCTGTTAATACCTCTGATGGCGGATACGGGGCAGAAAGACTCTTCGCCTTGCACATTGCAAACGAGGCGTATCAGAGCTGTAAATATCTGGCCTTAAACCGGCGATCTGTAAGGACCTTAAGATTAACTAAAGACGCCCTCATGGCGGTCAGCTCTCTACACACCTGAGCTGAAAACACGACAACATCCTGAACTGGCACTGAGCGTTGGCACTGGACGTACACTGTCCCGCACAAAGGTCCAACATGAACTCACCTCCTGGAATCCTGTGAATATTTGGCTGCATCTTTCCCTGTTATCCTTCCTGTGCATTGCATGCCCCCAAATCCCCCCCCCTCCCCCTCCACAGGTAATCAACGCTTGTTTACTAAATGTATCCCAGGTCACAGAAAACAACAGAGTGAGGTAAAAACCAACCTGAGCCCGTTGAAGAGTTGTTTGGATTTGTCCAGAAGGTAACAGAAATCTGTGACGGTCTTCCTTTCTCCTAACGGGATATCATCCTCAGTCTCAGCTCCAGTCATGACACTCGCACCTGATGAAGACACAGAAATCACTAAATGCATTAAGAGTGTGGAGATAAATATCGACCAGAAAAAAAACTGTGAGACAAAACATATTTCCCCTCTCAGAATCGCATGAAGGAAGACAAGGCAAGTTTTTTTTTATACCGCACATTTCAGCAACAAGGAAATTCAAAGTGCTCCACACACAAGGTGCAGAACACACATTCAAAGAGGACATTTAAAGGGCCGCCATGAGCCTAGCGGTTATGACGTGCGTTCCATGCATGGAGGCTATAGTCCTCATCGCAGCAGCTGTGGGTTCGATTCCGACCTCAACCCTGTGCTGCACATCATCCCCCTTCTCTCTCTCTCCTCACAACACTTCCTGTCTCTCTTCAGCTGTCCTCTCTAATAAAGGCAAAAATCACCAAAAAAATATAACTTTTAAAAATCATAAAAACCGAACCTTAAATATCAAAGAGAAGAAGAAATAAAAAAACGGCTAGTTGTCTTCAGTTTGTAGGTAAAACAAAAAAATGTTGGACTTCATCATCGGTTGGTGGAAACACAAACTTCACTCAATTAATTTAGAACACAACAGACGGTGAAAACATCCATCGGTCAAAGCCTCGACTGATATTTGAGACGTTAGCGTCAATACTTTTGCAAGCCGAGCGTCCAATCTCCGAGATGGCCTACTTCAATGGGAACAGAAATAAGTATGTACACTGTAACTGTGGAGGAAATGCGTCACATGGCCACCTTTTTTAGGTTGACCTGGGATGTCCCAGATTTGAATTCTCGCAGCAGCTGCAAACTCCTGTTCTCAAAGAAGGATGGCAATCAGGTCAGAGGAGGTGATACCGTCTTGTTCACAGTGTTTAACTGTTGTAAAAATCACTTAGTGTAAAGTTAGTTCTGACTATCTGTAGTGTAGGGCGCTGAATGATGGAGGGACGCTGTCAGTGTCTCTGCAGGACCACATCCGCTCCCCTGCATCGAGTTTAACACCTCTGACGAATGCACTGCTCTAAATGTTATGATTAAAAGAAAGGTCCAAGGGGCGCCATTGGCCTAGCGGTTCGTGAGCGCGCCCTATGTACAGAGGTAAAAGTCCACAAGAGCCGGCAGGCCCAGGATCAAATCCAACCCGTGGCTCCCTTCCTGATCTCTGACTCTTATCCACTGTCCTATCTCTCTAATAAAGGCACACACAAAAAAGGACCAAAAAGATATTTAAAAAAAAAAAAAAAAGGTCCAACACAGAGGAATCGTTCCTGCAAAATCTCAGTTACAAACAGCTCTTTTAGCTTTAATAGACTTTGCATGCAGCGTTGGCATTGAAGCATCCTGTTTGAGAGGAGGCGAGACAAAATAAACACATATGCACTGATAGAAAATTTTAAAAATATATATATATATATCACCACATATATGCAGAAAAAAAATCAAGATAAATCAGACAGGGGTGCCTGGTTTAATGTGTCTCTGAAATAGTGATAATCTACCTCAGCTGTGATTTTGACAGTAATGAACTCGGGTAACATTAATCTACCTAACTAGCTCTTCTACTAATTAGACAGAGCTTAATTTAGCCGTCAGCTATAACACAGCTATTGCTCTGCATCCACCGCCCAACATCTGACTAATTAAAGTCAGGACATCACCCTTCATTAAAATGATTCTCTGGATAAAGATGTCTGGTAGCTCGGTCCTGCCACAGACTGGTCTCTCACACACACCAGCCTGTCTGCAGAGGCTGCTTGTGTAATTCTTACCTCTTGAGCCAGCCGGCTAACGTCAATGAACAGAGGAGCACCACAGTGATGCTTCAACAAATCACAGTAAAACACCGCGACGAGCTCTGCAGGCGGAGCGGCTCTGATGGCATCTCCCTCCGTGTGTGAACGACGTCGAGCCCGCGGTGTGTCGAGCCGTGAGCACCCCCCCCCCCCCCGGAGAGAGCACGGACGGAGCTGCTGTCGGCGGAGGCTAAAAATGCTCCTGTGGGATGAAAGGCTGTTGTCCTGTGACTGTGAAGGAGGAGACAGCAGGAGGAGACAGAGAGGGGGAGAGACAGCCGCTGGCTAGGATCCACTACAACTGGCTAGCTACTTCCGGGTCAACGCTTTCAAAGTAAAAGTGTCGTCACTCCTCCACAAGCTGGTGAATGGTGAATGGACTTGAGCTTGTACATTTCTTTTCTAGTCTTCTGACTACTCAAAGCGCTTATTTTACACCGCACGTCACACCTACGCATTCACACCGCATTGGTAGAGGCTGCTGTGTAAATAGTCCATCAGAAGTAACTAATCCCATTCATATTCATTCATACACCGCCGACGAAGCAGCGGGAGCAATTTGGGGTGAAGTGTCAATTGACACATCGGACATGTTGCTGCAGGAGCTGGGAATCGAACCCTCAACCTTCCTGTTGAGAGACGACTCTACCAAATGAGCCACAGCCGCAACTCTTGTGATCATTCAACGTCGTACACAGAATCTATCCTGTGAGAGACGTGTGGGAGAGATTTAAACTCAAGTTAGATCATTGCTTTGTTTTTAAAGATAAAGATCAGATAAGATATACTTTATTCATCCCAGCAGGGAAATGTAGGTGTTCCAGCAGCCAGCATACATACAAACACACAACACAACACATATATACATACATATCCCACCCATACAAAAAACATGAGCCTGGATATAGCCAGGATAAAAAAAAAAAACTCTGTAGGAATTGCTCCAAAATATGATTCTCTTACGGAGCCCCTGATGATTTAAAAACGTTATCGTTTTTGCACAAGTTAATGATCTTTATAGATATTATTTTAATTCTTTGGGACTTCAGGGGCTCGGTATTGTCTTGTGCTACACATTTTTATCTTATTTGTGCACACAATATAATAATACAAAGTTCCACAAGTAAGATGATCATTTGTCCCCACAAGATAATTATTTAAGATTATTTTCTTATGGAGACAAATTGATTATAACAATCAGTCATTCATGCCACCAGCGTCCCGTGGAGTCCACCTTTTTGAGGACACCTTCAGCCTTCTTTCACATCAGGATGTTAAATCTGGACCCGATGAAAATACAGAAATCATGCATGCAAGATGAAAAACACCACCTCAACCCATCTGATAGCACAGTTCATTACAGCAACATCCATCTGCGGTCAGTGGCGATTCTAGACTCTGTTAGGGCCCCAGGAAAACATTTTTTGTGGGGCCCTTTAACCAGCGCTCATCACCACTTTGTCTGCCAGAGTCCAGATGCTTACTCCTCCTTTTCTCTCTTACAGACGGATAATCCTCCTTCAATTTTCTTTATTGACTTTCATTGACAAACTTTGGTTTTTAACAGCAATAATGCATGCAACGTTAAGCAGGGCAACGAGAGTGAGTGCTGTCAGATTTGACCTCCTTAGGGAGGTTTCCTTGCAAAATTTGCACATTATGGGACACTGCTTTGGTTTAAAGGGGACATATTATGAAGAATCCACTTGTACAGTGTTTCTGAACATATATTTGGGTAACCTGAGTTTCTACTGACCCACAAAATGTGAAATAAACCCATCCAGTCCTTTGTTTGTGGTCTGCATAAGTCTTACAGCACAATGCTCTGTTTCAAATGTGCTCTCCTTGTGATGTCACAGTGGGATTCTGGTTAAAAAAAAAATCCCCTCCCCTCCCCTGATATCTCCACCCATGGACTCCACCCCAGCCTAGAACAAAACTTTTGTGCAGGTTTCTCACTGGTGAAGAAGTGATGTCTACCTGGAAAACTCAGGGGGGGCTCATTGCATTTAAAGAGACACACACACCAAAACGGAGTGTTCTGAGAGCTGGTTTATACAGGGTCACAAACCTCCTCTGGTGCTTGATTCATGTTATATTTTGACCAAAGCACAGCACAGATGTTTCATTTAGACCACAGGGGACTGTTTGAGAAGGTGGAAAAGGGGGATAATATGTCCTCTTTAATGTTTGTCAGCCCTCAGGAGCCCCCTTCTGGCCTGGGACCCCAAGCTGTTGCCTTGTCTGATGATAAGCAGCGCCTCGGTCTGCGGTTGAAGTGACCACCACTCGTAAAGATGATTCATGAATAATGTTTTATTGAATTACAAAACAGAGGAAAGCCACATGGAACAATTCTCTGATACAAATACAACTGAGCAGTTATTCAAGAGAGAGAGGAAGAATGCACTTACACGGTAAAATGGTGTTTTTAAAGTGAAACAATATCGCTTAGAGAGCCACAACTCATCACCATATCACGAGGATGAAAACCGGTTGATGGCCGACATTTGGACCTTTATCATGAAAAGTCTAAATGTCAGCTGTAGAAGACACTTTTTAAAAACAATAAATTATGAAGAAAGGGTTAAAAATGAAATCAAAGCAGCAGTTAAGGCAGAGAGGAGGGGCTCAGCAGCTGTTGTTTCACAGGAGCAAATTATTCCAACAGTTGATTTCCTTTATTTGAAATGATCTTATCTGAGAGGAGGAAACTTTCACTGCTACCGTGACACTTGGAAGAAAAATATACATCACTTCATCTGCTCGTGTATTATTGCCAATTCATGTTTTCAATCACCTCTGGGATTAAACGATCATTTCATTTCTGATCAAATACGAAGACATCTCATTTTCAGAGCGGGGGGAGGAAGAGGAGAAGTGTTTTCATCATGACAGATCAAACGTGGCAGAGGAATCCGTGTGTCACCTGAAGGGGACGTCACTCCCATGACTTTATTAAAACATGTTGCATATAAATAAGCTTGAGGTCTCCAGACGCCGGAGACGAACGAGAACCGCCTCAAGGTCATTAGAGGAAGTACGGCGTGGTCGTTCTGGGAGGTATGACGCGCTCAGAGTCGGGGACGGCGCGGAACAGCTTTGGCTCTCGTCTGTTGACGTCCTTGAAGACCATGATGGAGGCGATGTTGCCGCAGCGGTAGCAGTAGTTTGGCGCCGACCACACGGTCACCAGCTTCTCGTCGAACATGAACTTGTAGCCTTCATGGACGAGCTGGTGAGCGCGGCAGATGAGCTTCAGGTTGTTGATGTGGACAAACTGAAACAAAAAAAAGCCATGTTACTGTCGTCCAACTGATGCTTTAGGATCTAAGTTTCAGTCAATTATTCTACAAACCTCGTTAGTAACCTTGGAGCCAAACAGCCAGCCCGCCCCTCTGGGACTGATGGCCCAGGTGTCCACATCCTCAGGGTCGGACCACACCAGATCACAGAAGGCCCCCTTGTGGGGAATCTCCTGATTGCGCTCGATTGTGCGGATCTGATCCAAAGTCTTGATGTCGGGTGAAAGTCCACCATGAACACACAGCACCTGCTCATCAATCAGCTGAGACAAGAAATTTAAATTTAAATGTTAGAGAAAGACAAAATATTCAAAGATCTGATTACAGTCCAAAAAATAATCAGCTTAATTCAATTCAAAATCCCTTAAAGGGGGGCGCTGATGGCGCAGTGGTTGGTGCGCGTGCCCTATGTAACCTCCAAGCGGGCGGCCCAGGTTCAAATCCCACCTGTGGCTTCTTTCCCGCATGTCATTCCCCACTCTCTCTCTCTCCCTGATTTCCGACTCTATCCACTGTCCTATCTCTACATTAAAAGCCCAAAAATAAATCAAAAAAAATTCCTTAAAGGCACAGTATGTAAATGCCACCAGCAGGGGGCTCTCGATCAAAACAATAACAAAATAATTAATTTAGATATTTCATGTCAACATTCTAAATATTACACCTTTAAAGGCAGGGTTGGTAATTTCGGAAAACTAGCATGATTTTGAAAGTAGCAGTAGTAGTAAGTTTTTACAGGCTTACAACTGATGATGGATTTTCTTTGTTCCTTTTTTAGAGAACATGAGTTATTAATTTCTGTCAGGACCTAAAGACTATTTCAACCAAAATCTTAAAAACTGGATCTGGAGGAAATTAGCAACCCTACCTTTAAATTATTTTTTAAAGTGACAATGAGAATTTTTAGCCACTAGGGGTCAGAGGAACTCTAAAGCAAATTAACCGCTACACTCCTCACATACAGTATTGTTTTATCTACAGCTGATATGTCAAAAAACATTCTTCATATTTCTGAAGGAGAGGTGTTGAACACTGTTGATCAGAGATGACCTCATAAGTTACACCACACACGTTATCATGTCAGTCGTGAAAAAGAACCATGAATGAACTTACAGCGGCCACCGTCAGCATGTCGAACACCTTAGTGCAGTACCGCCAGGCGTTTGCGTTTCCATATTTTGTTTGGCACTCATCTGGAAACAATCAGAACACACAGAGTGATCAGGTTTTACAAACGCACGAAGAAGAAACGTTTTCATCCATTTAGCGTCACGGTGAACAACCTGTACGTACCATAAAAGCCGTACACTTGAGTTATTTGTCTGCTCTCGTGGTTTCCACGTAGAAGTGTGATACGGTCGGGCCACTTTGCTTTTAGAGCGAGCAGGTGTGTAAAAGTCTCCAAGCTATAATATCCTCTGTCCACAAAGTCGCCCTAGAGGAGGGAAGGTGCAAACCAAAACGTTTCATTCATGATGAAAATACAACGCAGGTGTTGTTGATGTTTGGGCATGTGCAGAATAAAGCTCGGCTGATGTCACAAAGCAAAGCTGGCATTATTCATCGATCTCTGCAGAGAAAGAGCTCAACATAAACAAAGACAGATGACTTACCATGAAAATGTAGTTTGTGTCTGGGACCTGGCCTCCAGTTCTGAAGAGCTCGCAAAGATCATAAAACTAGACAAAAACAGGCGCGTCATGTTTTCAGTAGTCAAACGTTTTTCAAATGAAAACATGCAAAACTTATTTTGAGTTCTGAATGTACAGGTAGAAGTGTTAAAGCGTGTTAGGCCCCGTGTCCAGCTAGCGGTTTTTCTGGGCAGAAAAGCGCTGACTGTGCACTCTGGAGTGTTTGCGTGAAGCGTTTGTGCAGTGAGATTAAAAACGCTGCACGTCCGTCCTGTCACTATGACAACAGTGTGTTGATAACGGCCGCTGTATGACCGACACTGCGCCGTTACTTTTTACTGCATGTTTTATATTTGAGAGCGTAAACTTAATCTGA